GCAGTGGACTGAGTCTGGAGTAGAAACATCCAGAACCACCATGTGCAGGCGTGTGCAGGAAATGGGCTACAGGTCATTAGCCTATTTTCTGACTCAGTCATGCAGCTACCTCACTGCTCCACACACACTAGCCACAGACTCAAACGCACATAAACAAAAGCTCTGATATTAAAATCCACCCAGCTGATGTGAAGCAGGCAGAAAAAAAAATTACAGGTAGATGAACGCTAACTCCTGCCCGCAGGCAAAACACCGGTCTGTTGTCTCCATGGCTGTAAGGTAGAGCAACAGCAGGGACAACCAATTACATGTTAGCATGATGCGGCAGAGCCAATCAGTGAGTTTGTGGGCGGGTCTAAGGCAAAATAGGCTTCAGCTTGAGGCGGCTGCCTCCGCATGGTTCTACTGCCTGATATGTATCACAGTATAACAGTTTTGAATGGTAAAATCTGACGAAAGACCGGAAAAAGGGCACTTCGGACAAAAGGGGCAGGTGCTCAAGCCCCCCCCCCCCCCCCCCCCCCCCCCCGCACGTGCCTGATTGGCAGATTTATTGGTCAGGTCATTTCATCAGATTACCTTGAGCAGCAACACACATTGAACCTAAATTAGCCATAAACTCAGTTTTATCCTTAAACTCACGTGTCAACTTGATTATTCTGGTCTGAAGTCATTCAGGAAACCATCTACAGCATTTATGCTATTATTTATACCTTTGACACAGAAACACACTTCAAAATGACAAAACAATAAAACGCTTAAAAATCTAACAACCCTCTTAAGACAAAGACGAGAAAAAACTATTAAATGCCAAAAAAAAAAAAAAAAAGAAAGAAAGAACTAAAAAACACTTAATCAGAGCTATTGAGCAAATGTTACTGCCTCCTAATGGAAGCCACAGGCATTTTAACAAGCAGCAACGTCCCCGCCATGATCTGGGAAGTTTCCTGCAACACGTCCCTCAATCAAAGCTCATCTGATGTGGAAATGAAATGTGTGAGAGGAGAGAGACAGTCTAACCGGTCTGCGCCGAACATGTGCCGGAGACACAGGTCACCCACTGCACCGAGGCAGTCTATTCACCAGGAAGATCTTTTTAATTAGGCTATGTTCTTTTAATTAAGCAGCCAGTGAAACGTCTGTGTCCATTTGTCACCCTGCTTTGCTCGGGCGCAGCCGGGTGAAAATCCCCTCCTTTATCTCCTCGTAGTCACGGAGGTCCCTGCTTCTCATTATATACGTCCTCATTCACTGAAAAGTACTTTTTTCCTTCTTCTTCTTCTTTAAATTAGCATGATAAAAACCCTCAGAGGGGAGGAAGAGCGGTGAAGATCTACTGCAGGACTGCTCATCACACCTGGGTTATTATTATTATAGTGAATGCACCATCAGTTAAACTAACAGCCTGAATTCAGACATTTATCTCCAGTGTCTGAGAATGACTGTCAGGGAGCTCAATGGCAAATTACAGGTTATGTCTTGCTCCATGGTGCCTGGATCCTTCCCTGGTGCAATTATCCAATGCTAATTCAGCCCCCCGTCCAGTTTTCATGCTAGAAAGAAGTTTTCCCAAATGCTTGGATGGAATTTCAGAGTGAATGTGTTCATCTACACACTGGCATTTCCCAGGAAACCCGAGCACGTCCTCGGGACAAGAGGTAGGAAAGTCTCTACCGTGGCTTGTAATTGTGCTCCCAGAGACAGGGTCACATGCAGGTCAGGCCACCTTGAACTCCTCAGCAGGATTTATTGTGTCGGAGGTGGACAGGGTCAGGCCGCGCTCCTCCCTTCCACACGAGGTCTCTGTTAGTGTCGGACACGGAGCTCACACTGGCAGCACACCCAGACCTCCGTCGCCGTCTCAGAGTAGAACCCGGAAGGGGTCAGAGGTCTCATGTTAAGGGTCGGGGCATGACCTGAATACTGATTGATTATTCTTGAGCCCATATTGTGGGAGGGGATCAAGCCTCTTACCCTCCCCCCATGGAGAATAAGTGAATTTGGAACAAAGAAAGAGGAAACAGTCGAAGTCCCAACTTGTTTGACTTCGACCGCTCCACCGTGGTCTGTTTTCACTTTGGCTGAAACAAGATACGAGACCGCATGTTTTCCTTTAGCAAACAGCTGAGTGGAGAAAGGCCAGGAGCGTGCTCTGTTTGTCCTTTCATGGAAGAATGAGGAGGACACACTCCCCAGCTCCCCCGCAAGATTTATTAGTTGTTAAAAAACACGACCGCGTCGGCCAGTGATGGTTCAATCACTCATTCAATTAGAGTAAACCAAAGTACCTAAAAGGTGACTTACAAGGTAAATTAATTTTCCTTTTTGTTGTAGGAAATGTTTCCCATTGGTGTGAATATTCTCGCCCTGAATTATTGCTAAACCTATGAAATATTTTTGGAACAAATTTATAAAATGCAGCAAAACAGAAGAAAATCACAGAAAAAACTTAAAGGTGTGTTTGAGCCCAAAAAAAATTTTTAATGATTATTTTAGGGCTGCAGCTATCGAATATTTTTGTAATCGAGTGCTCTATCAAATCTTTTATTTATTAATCGAGTACTCTAATAAATTACCCTTTTGTGTTTGTAAACCATTATATCAAATACTGTAGCATGTTATAAAATATGAAAGACCTCTTAAAATGAGCAAGCAGTTGCCAGTTATTATTCAAGTTTTATTCTAAATTAGTTTTCAAAACTTCAGCACTTCAACTTTAATTCACAGTAAAGCCTCTGCAAAAAATAAGTATACAACCTGAGCTGACTTTCCCCTCATGCGAGAATCTACTAGCCCGGCAAGCCAGACAAAAACAAGGAGGATAACTGTTTAAGTAGCGCTGCATTAGCTTCTGATAGAAAATAGATTGTGAAATGCTAGGATTTGAAAATCCTCACATATATATGTCACACTTTAAATTAGCATTCATGGCCTCGCCTATCTTGGCTGATGCCCGCCCACAGGAAGGCTTTTTTCTTTTCGCAGCACAGAGAGAGAGAGAGCAGTGAGTGAAAAGGATTTAGCAACATGGTTAAAAGTGTTCTGTTAGCCAATCAGAAGCAAGGTGTGCGCATATCATTAATAACAATAATGAGCAATGCTGCTGTTTTTAGCCTGCATCTGCACCAGCAAAGAAGCTTTTTTTAAATGACTCATAAGGCATTGATGTACACTAGAGAACACTGCAAATGTGTTGTTGAATTGGTCACATAATAAGACTCTTGATGCATTTAGTCAGCATTTGACTCTGAACCCAAACCAGACTGGATTTTTCACCACTGCCAGTTTGTATAGGTGAGTTTACCCAAAGTTGGCCCATCTCTGCTCTTTAATGTTGTGGATAAATGCTGCTGCGGTTGTAGCATGTGGTCAAAGGGATTTTTAAAGCACAAACACAAACTATTAAGTTCATCTAGATGCATTTAGAGGCCATTTTGCCGTCTGGAGACTTTAAAAGCTTCAAAGAGGCAGTTGTGTGAAATCTTTGTTGTCCTGGCACAGGGAATTGTTTTCCATAAGATTATATCTGCCTTTTGATGTTTTTGTGTGTGTTCTTTCTTCATAAACGCGGTACTGTACACAAGCTTTTACTCACCCTAAACTGCTGAAACAAGAAAATCATGTCCACATGCCTAATGGTATCGGGTAAACCTCTGCTGATAAATACAACATGGTTCTGTCTGGGATTTTTACCCTTTATGTCAAAAGAAGAGGACCGAAGACATAAAGCAGAAAAACAATGTGACAGGCTGGTTCTCCTGTGACCTAAACTGAACCGCCACCAGACAGTGAGCCAGCGGAAGACTCCACAGACCGGGAGGACGTCGTCTCTGCAGACCTTGCTTGGCTCTGGAGTTTTAAATCCATCCAGTCAAAACTTCCATCTGCATTTGTCAATTTCTGTGCAGGTTGTTACCTTTTCCATCCCCAGATGGTGTGATGTTGTTTATAGTCTTTATTAAAGAGGTTGTTCACTGATAGGCCTTAAAACTCCCCAACAGCAGAGCGTAGAGAATATTCATTCTTCGATCTTGATGGCCCGGACTTTTGGCCTCATAATGAAAAAAAAGCTGCTTTTTGGTTGGAAAGACATTGATTGGGTTCCTAATGGTTCTTTATTCTCAAATGTGAGGTCTTTCAGGGCAAACCGCAGAATTGTATAACAACTGCCCCCTTACAAGTAGGGGTGGGCATTGTTTGAATATGAACAGTTCAGATTCCGATTTCAGGCTTGTAGCACAATCCGAGTTTGTTTCTGACCACAAATTCTAAGCTTCCTACTCGCAACCCAAGGTGTAGAACTGAATGAGCCTCTTGAATGAGAGGCTAAACGTCTTCATAGGGTCTCTGCGGGCTGCAAAATATGAGTGACAGCTGATCAGCTGGTCTGCAGAGGGCTACAGAGTGCTGTACGATCTGAAATTGGTAAAGTTTCTGCCTCAAGATTCATTGAAACAACTTTAAAAGCAATAGCTTAAAATGTTAAAAGCTGTTATGTTGCTTAAAGGGACCGAGATGTTTCCTGCACCACAGACAGGTGGATCAATTGTTGATCATCAGAGGAAAATTGTGGAAAAAAATCAGAAAGTGGAAGAATGCATCATCTTTTTTAGCTCCAGAAATGCTGTTACCGAAACAAGCACTAATTTAATTCCACCTCTTTCTGCAAAAAGTGTTTTTTCTTTCTATAATTTGTCCCTGAGAATAAGTAGAAAATTAGACTGTGAATATTTATTTTTCACACTTTTAATACTCTGAATGTCTTTTCAACAGACTGCCCACACTTTCCTTCTATGAACATGTGTTCCACACACACACACACACACACACACACACACACACACACACACACACACACACACACACACACACACACACACACACACGGTTTTCACATAATGTGATGGCTGAAGAATAAAATGAAAACTCATCAGGATTAGATGTAGGATATTAAAGTGTTTCCACGTTCTCCGAATATAACTGTAGCTATCTTCTTTTAGGTCTCTGCTCTGGCGAGGTGAAGACTTTCTCTTTCCTGTGATTCTGGAAGCAGATTGCCATAGCAGATGGTGAGCTGAGATGCTATCACTAGATTTGGCTAGTTTGAGCTCTGGGATTTGTTAAAAGATTTTGTTCACTTTTTGCAATAGCAACCTGTTATCATGCAAAGTGTTTTTCCCCAAAAAGAAATTTCTAAGCAAGCAAATTCACATTAAAATGGCTGTATTTTATTTTTTTGGTCATTTTTCAGATCAAAGGTAATAGAACATTTCCAGATACTGGGTAGTCATTGTTATTCATGCTTTGGACCTGCTTTGGAGTTTTGCTGGAAAATAAAGCACGACTGTGTTCAAAGTCTTAAGTTGCATTACAAGCAAGCTACTCTGCATCATGTCTGTGATCCACACATGTAAGATTTGTCTCTTATTTTTCATTCAGATTCACGGACAGCTGCAGCTGAAGCCCAGTTCTTCTCCATGTCCTTGGCTGTTTGGAGGTAAGAGATGCTGTTTGTCTCTAAAATGTGGGATTAAAAAGTAAAGATTAAATAATAAAAAATGCAGCAGAGAAAAATGCCACTTTTTTGTAGACGTTTTCAGAAATGATTAATTTAATGCTTTTCGGATTTCCCTTTTCAAAAAAAAGTCACTGACACGTTTGGAATACTGGTTAATACTGACTACCTCTTTAATTGTTGTATATTGTGTTGTGTCTACCACTAGGGGCAGTATAGGAGAAGGTAACAGAGAGAAGAAGTGCTCAGAGGAGTTGAAATGGATGCCTGATATTGCTACAAGTGACGCAAGTTTGAATAATTGGTAAAGGAAAAGGAATAATTGGAAAAGGAATTCTTGCCTATTTGTGCTACTTTCAGATACAACAGCCGACCATAACAATTGGCGACTTCAGTGCTTATGCCTGGAACTTTCCTGCTGTGTAGTTTTTATATATTTTTTCCAGGTCAAGGATAAATTGAGCTCACTGAATTGCTTAATTTGAGCAGTAAAAGTACAAAATAAGCCCCAGTGCTGCTAATGTTGAAAATCATTTGAAATGCAGAAAGAGTCTGTATTTAATGGCACCTTGTTGAGTTGGAGATGGGTGTTCATAAAATGCTCATTTATTTGGGTTGTTTGGGATTAGGAGTGGTTTTAGAAATAAGTGTTTCATGTGAAAATATTTTACAAGTTCAAGAGTGGCACAGAAAAGCTTTGTGTCACTCAAAAAAAAAATAAACACACACACAGCAGCACTTTTTTTAAAGGTTACCTCACATTTTAGCACAAACAACAGCAGAACTAATGCATTTTTTTATTTGTTAGAATTTTGGAAAATAAATGTTTTAACGTGGGTCGATTTTTGAAGTAGCTATAATATGTTTGCGTACATTGCTGCATGTTTGTCTTTTCCATATTTAAAGGCAAAATATTTTCAAAATAAAATTACAATGGGCAAAATGCTTAACATATTCTGATAGATCTGCTCAAAAGTCCCGTCCCGTCCCGAATTGATATTTTTGGCCCATTTTCACTACCTAATGTGTGTTTGATCAAAGCGTGACCACCAGGTCCCAGAGCAGAAACATGAAGCACAGCAGACTCTAATCAAAGCAGAAGTTCCATTAATGAGTCAAAACTGTCTATTTTAACTGTTTTTCAGATATTCAGATTTTTTCTTCCCATGTTTAACTGATAACAAAGACGTTTTAGTTCAGAACCACAGAGATTTGCTTATTTCACAGCCCGATTATAATAATTAAAACTCGACAAAGTAATTCAATTTAATAGGCGACTTTTTAGTTGTCAAGCACCAGTATAAGCCCTATTAATGGTATTTTACATAACTGAGTGTTTCAAATAGAATTAAACGTGTTGTTGTTCTTTCGAGAGGGCGCACCTCAGGCTTTCTTCACACCATTTGTCATCAACCTTTTCGGTAAAATGACTAAATATAATAATGTCATGCTTGTGAGCCTAAAAAACACAGACAATCACCCAAAAACTTGACTCTGGCTTTTTTAAGTGAGATGGTGGGACAGCAGAGGACAGGGCCAATGCCAAGATGCCTCATGGGAAGGCTGCAGGCAGATGGTTGGCCAGATGCAGACCTGTTGTGACCTTGAACAATTCAGGAAGTAAAGGTCATAAAATGTGTTAAAATCACGACAACACCGGAGACGATTCAGCAGCAAGAGCTCCTAGGAGATAAAGATACTGACTTCTGGCAGCTTTTATGTTTAAAGATGATTGTTTTAAAACTCAGCCTCTCCTCAGTCATCATTTTGTAGGAGTTTCTGCTATATTTTCCTCAGATTATGATCATTTTTCTGAGCACATTAATATAATATGACTGAAAAGGTCATTGTGTTTAATTTATCGTAATGCTGCAGTGAAAGTTATCAAAGTTTCTGCTCAGGGGTGCACTTTCACCAACCAGACCTGTTAAATTACTGTCATGCTATTCATTAACCTAGATATCTAGACCAACCTTAGCAGTGGCAAAGGATTTAGCTCTGCAGGTTGGTCTAGCCACACTTGTAGCCTCAGCAGGTCTACCGACCTGACCAATCACAGCACTCTAAGCTTGGAGCTGCGACAGAAAAATAGCTAAGATGGCATCAGCCCAAGAAAGGGGCTCATTTGAAATGACTTTGGCTTAAATTTAAACAAGTTAGACTTGGACTTTCTTTGAGGCATGAACAAATAGAGCTACTTAAGCATTTTATTTTTAAAAAGGACGTATTTGCTGCTTCTTCTTGTTCTGGACTGCCCTGTTGATGGATTTCCATACCGTTGAATACTTGACGTTGTTTTTCTGCTTTGATTTGTCCCGTTGCTGGCTGTGCAGAGGTGGTTTGAAAGACAAACGTAGGTTCTGATCCCGACTGGGTTCTTTCAATGGCCAGACTTTATATTTACGCATATAGGATGGCATACCAGGCTAATATTTCATAGGACCCTCCAACACCAGGAATGGTGCGCATGCTCCCACGTTAAGTCTTAATAAAATAGGTTCCTCACTAGATTGTGTCTGAGGGATTGTTGAAAGAAGTGGAAGTTTACATAGTTGCTGGCAGCAAAGAAACACTCTCATGTCATTACTAGAAGAGCAACACTCCTGATGCAATTCAGGCAGCAGACAGAGGCAAACACCACCATCAGCCTGATATTGTGCAGGCCTCTGGGGCTTTGAACCAAGCAGAAGCAGAGCCATGATCAGAGCTGGGAACTGGATGGAGGTGTGTGTGTGTGTGTGTGTGTGTGTGTGTGTGTGTGTGTGTGTGTGTGTGTGTGTGTGTGTGTGTGTGTGTGTGTGTGTGTGTGTGTGTGTGTGTGTGTGTGTGTGTGTGTGTGTGTGTGTGTGTGTGTGTGTGTGTGTAAGTGGGGGGAGGGGGATGCTGTGAGAAATAAGAGAAGATAGAGGAGGGTAGAGGTGTCAGGCGTATAATTGGGGTGAGGAGATCTCTGGGGTGGATAGAGGGAAGCTTTATTAAGACGGCTCCAGTCTGATGTGCCGGCATGGCCGCCTCGCTCCTCCTCGCACGCCCACGCCAAACCTCCGCTCTCACAAGAGATTCCGTAACAACAAAGGGATGAAGGCCAAAGTCCTCAAGCTCCTCTCAGTCACAGATAAGACAAAAGACCCCATTATTTAAAACCCACTGATGGGAAGGCAGCAGCCGCATGCAGAGCTGCCTTCCCTGTTAATATGAGGCCAGTTTTCAGCAGAGGCGCCGTAACTAAAGCTGCACTCTTTAGAGTTTTTGTTATTTAATGTTTTGCTGAAAAGGCTTTTACCAGTGATCAAGAGTGTTCTCTCATGATCCGCCTGTTTCTTTTAAACTAATACCTATGATTTGCATTTGCTCTTTTGATCTGACATTCTCCCGTGCAGGCTTTCATGTTACTGTTATACATCAGCTTTGGCTCGTTGGTGTCTTACTTTAAATATATTTAGATCAGAACGTTTATTAAAGCATTTGCAGCTCAAAGGTTTGAAAAATATTGTCATTGAGCCAGAATAAAGCAGAAACGGGTCTGGTTATGTTGGCTTGTAAGGAAAATGAACTTTCTGGGGTTACTTCCCGTTTGACTGATCCCATAGTCTGATGGTGAGATTAGGAGCTTATTTCCTCCTCCTCTTTCTGCTTTGAATTGCTGCTTTTGAAGGAACCATATCAATAAACCAGTCCTTTGTAGATGCGTGCGAGTATAAAAATGTTTGCCGTCTCACAAAAGCAGATAGATCCCTTGTTTTACCCATTTGTCTTCTACTTTAATGTTTTACCTTTTCTGCACTATTTGAATTTCTTTTATTTTCAATTTAATCATCATGTTTCACATTTCTCATGTACCATTTTCAGCGCCTTGGGCTTCCCGACAGGGGAAGGCGCTTTATAAATAAAGCTTTGATTGATTGATTGATTGAGATATTTTTTGAGTAAGAATTAGTAGCATCCCCTGATCTCCACTGTAAATTGGTTTCTGTGGAAATAATGGAAGAAGGGCTGGAGGTCTGTTGTCGGCTCCTTTAGTAGCTCATTAATCCCTCACAGCTCTGGCTGGAGGCAGAGCAGCTCGCACATACACGGCCCTGGTGGAAAATGGCACTCCTCCTCCCCACAGAGCTTGGCTAGTTCTCCTCCTGGCCCCGACAGGGAGACTGCAGGCCTTTCTAAACCTGGCTGTACTTCAAAGACACAGGGACAGAAAACTGTGAGGAGTTCACCTCAGTTTTCTGTTTAACATTCTGAGGTGACCCAAGTTAACGGTCCCATGGTGACTGTTGGTGCCATGACTGAGATAAAAAAGGATTCATTGGTGATTTCACTAACTAAATATTTTCTTTTTTTTTATCACAAAAATGTTTTTGCAGAGTAAAACAAAGAAAAAATCTTTGATAAAGACTAAAACCAAGACTGAAATGACATTTTCGTCAATGAAGACAAGAGATGAAAGTTAATGACAAAAACACAATTAGAAGTCCAAAATGAGGTTTTACAAAAATTATTACTTTTCCATCATCACAAGCTTTGAAATAAAATAAGGTTTAATCATCAGAGTCGGAACGGTTTTATTGCCATATGTGCGAGAGATCACAACAGTAGGAAATTGATGCGGTACTTGGTGTAAAAAAAAAAGTTCAAATAAGAGATCAGCGGGAAGAGGGCTGAAAAAACATCCAGTTGCACACGGGAAAATCCAAGGCTACCTAAATAAGAGAAGTCCCAAACCTGTCCAGGCGGAGTGGAGCTGACGCCAGTGTGTAAGTGGCACAAGCAACTGGAGTGGGCAGCCCTAGGATTGTCATTTGTGAGTCCCACTGCAGAGGAGAAGAAACTGTTCTTGTGGTAAGAGGTTCTGGTCCAAATAGATCTGAACTTCCTGTCAGATGGGAGCCAGTCAAAAAGAATGTGTCCAGGGTGACAGGTCAGCTGTTATCTGACCTGCTGACCCAATGTCCTGGAGGTGTACAGGTCCTGTACGGAGGGGAGTT